CCCCAAAACCCCAAAACCCCAAAACCCCAAAACCCCTTTATAAGATCTCACCATTGAAAGCTGTCAATAAAACCAATATTTAAAAATCTAGCATTTTTAATACTAATAAAGATTTTTGTTCAAAAATGGAAATGACTCCTTCAAGGTACTTAAGACAGTAAGTAGGCCGCCAGAACTAGCCAGATAAGGAAGAATTACTATTAGCAATAAGTTTTACTTGGGCTGGGCCTTTAGGAAGGACAAAAAAATTCGAACATTTAAGGGTGATGGCTCCTTGGGTTGACGGAATTTAAACTAAATGGTATAGAAGACACACATGGAGTGGAGAGAAAGGACAAGGAATTGTCTTCACACGGTTTTTGAGATTTCACGGGATTTGGAAGCTCTGAATTGGATTTTTCTTGTTTTGATCCCTTCCGGTACTTCGTTGTCTTACAGAAAGTTTTTTATTTAATAACTCTTCATTTCATCCGGGAAGCGCTGATCATTTCAGAACGAACACAGGAAATTTTACTCTCTCAGATGTAAACATGTTTGACAGTGAAGGAGGGTTTGTTCGTGTTCATTCTGACGATAGGATTAACTTTACCGGGTCTCTTCCGAGAGATCCGTCTAACAGTGATTATAAGACAAGTGTATCAATTTGGGTACATACATTAGGCTTTACAAATGCCTACAATCTCTTCTGTCTGCCTTTTAAGTCTCATTACAACGACTCGACGGGGACGGCTGCTGACAGGGATATTGGATGCTGAGCAAGAATTGAGGAGACAGGTGGCAGGAGGATTATTACATTCAGCTGTTACCTCAATGACACAAATAAATTTACTAGACAAATTAACATAACTGATGGAAATAACCCAGGAGGATGGGATGTATAATACGGGATTTTCTACCGAAAATTTTCATCGAAACTTGAGGGATTACTGAACAAGATGCTAGAGAAGTCACCACCATCAAACTGATTTCTTGGATTTTAAAGTTTAGAAATTCTCATTTCAATTAGAAGTTTTGGGGAAATCTATCTTAAAAATAAACATTAGATAATTATTTTTATAGAGGGAACATAAGTATAAATTATTTTTAATCTTTCCATTATAACTTTCCTCTTGGCTGATTTGAATTCTCTTAACTATTCTTTCAGGCATTTGAACGAGCTCTTGAAGATCTAAATTAAGCAAAACTTGTGAGTGGGAAGATACTAATTTAGGGACATAGTTTGATTCATTTATTCAATTTTTACCTACCTCTTTCGAGACTCTTTCAGAAATTATCTCCAGGCTTCAGCTATCATGGGCTTCTATACAGCTGGAAGGATCAAAGTTAATTGTAGATCCTCCTGGTTTCTCACATTGCTTGTTAATGTTACTAATTTCTAAAGAATAACCTCAAATAATTACCATCATCAGAGTCATGCTTTTAGTCAATTAGAGGTTTAAAATTAAGAGAATGTGCTTTCCATCAGTAAAGAATCAATGAAGGGGCTTTTGACTGTGTCTCTTCCTTCATCAGATTGTTCCTTTTCATCATTAAAACAGGGTTAACTAGTCTAGCATGACAAGGACTGAGCCAAGGGCTTAAAACTAGCAAAACAAGAGTTTTCATGATGAATAATGGACATGAGCTCTTATTTCAGGAGAATTTTAAACAATCTGGAAATTTTAAAACAATGAAAATAATAAATGCTGAGTATATCTTCGAAGTTTCTAGAGTAATCATTGAGATAAAAACAAGCTATCTGGTCTACGATTGATAAGAGATGCTAATCAGAATTAAAGTTGACTTTACCTGATTTTTAAGATGGATTAAGGACTGAGATAGATGTTTTCTGAGCTTTCTGACTAAACTCTTGAAGTTTAGGGCTTCTCAATGATACTCTAAATTTTTATTTTATTGATGAATTTTTGATAAACCTCAACCAAAAGAATAAAATTTGGGGTTTTGGGGTTTTGGGGTTTTGGGGTTTTGGGGTTTTGGG